GTTAATGTGTATAGCATGTTTTTACTGGACAAAGGGCTGATTTACATCCCAGGTCCTGTGGAAGTGGCATGAAATTTCATCACGTTATTTAGAATAGCACACAACTTAAGACTTGTTTATTTCTGTCATTTTTCATTGAGTGTTTTCAGATGATTGACTTCTGGAAACTGAAATAATAGATAAAAGGGAGACAATTATATAAGTTCACTGTTTTACTTGTTTAACTGTTCCCTTCCATTAGAATGTAAGCCATGTAAAGCAGTGCTTTGTCATACCACCCACTCGTTGAGCAGTGCATGGCATGATGACACAGACATTTAAACATACATCAAATAGCCGGTGTGGTGGCACACGCCTTTAATCCCAGCACTCTGGAGGCAGAGGCGAGCAGATCTCTGAGAGTTCAAGGCCACCCTGGTCTACATAGTGAGTTCCAGGACAGCTGGGGCTACAGGGAGATCCTGTCTCAAAAAAGACCCCCCCCCAAAAAAATCAAATAATCTATAAATACATCATATTACTGAAAAATACTCAGATGCTCAGTAGCTCTAGTTAAGTCTATGGAATTTTATTACCTACAGATTTTGTTTATATTTGTCTTTCTTATCATGATAACCAAATAAATGTCACAGAAGGAAAAATGCAGGATTAAGGAGGTCAGTGAACAAAGTCAGACAAATAATTGACAAATTGACAAATAATTGATAAACTACCATGCCCTGTAGTGTTTGCAGTATTTTTAAGGACATTCTTATCAAATGGTATTCAAATGCAACAAAATAATGACCTGGAGAGACGGATTAGCAGGTAAGAACACTGGCTGCTCTTGCAGATTTGGTTCCCTAACGACCCTCCCTAACTCCAGTTCCAAGGGATAGAATGTCCTCTGCTGGCCTGTGTGAACATTGCATAACACAGATGTATTTACAAAATGTTGGAAAAACATACATGTAAAATAAAAATAAAGAAAATGCATCAAAATAATACTGAAGGTTTTTCCAGGAAATATTTTCTAGAGTTATAGTTATGTTTTTTAGTTCCTAGGTCTTCATATCTTTTTTGCATCAATCCAGTACTTTGAGTTTTTTTTCCATGAAGTACTTCATTTTATATGCTTATTCACTACTGAGACATCAGCTACACTACCCAAATTTAGAAGAAATTTATGAAATGAATGAGGTTTTCCTCCTCTGTTGACAGTAAGTTTCCTCCAAGCCTATATGCCATCAGGATTTCCAAAGCACAACAGGAGGAAATAGCAGGTGCTTTCCTTGTGATGCTGGACCCACTTATCAGCCAGCTGCTCACATCCCAGCATTTTGTAAAGGCGGTTCTGGATAGTCAATTAGGTAAGGTTTAAATAATGTAGTGTTAAATCATCTCTTATTAATTGTTAAGGCATGTGGCATACAGTTATTTCTATGCAGTCACTATAGTTATAAAATTTTATTTAAAAATTCTTGGTATTTTTATTGAAACATTCTCATTTAAATATTGCCTTTAGTTTATATAACACAATCAAATTTCTACTTTTTTTTTTCACCAATTTGTTGGAACTTAATATATAACTTAAATATGTATAAGACCTGCCATGTGAACTACAGTTTCCACAATGCCTACTCCTGGTTGTTGTCATGGATAAGCTGTCCTCTCAGCCTGAAGATGTACAGACCCTATGGTGTACAGAAAGCCAAGTCTCTGAAGCTATGACCAGGTAACACATTTTTACATCTACTCATTTCCTGGTGCTTTAGGGTGCCCTGTTATTTGAAATGTACTTAAAACTACGTTGAAGCCGGGCATGATTTGTGTCTAATCCCTACTATGCCAGATGCTGATGCAGGAGAAGCACTTGAACCTAGCAGTTTGAGACCAGTTTGTCATATTCTACTGCTATGTAGAAAAACAACTTTGTATAAGATATATATATATATATATAAATCAATAACACTTGCTAGACATGCTTTATCTTGTTCACTGCTTATTTGTCCATTAGTTGGCATTCAAAATGTTGGCTGGAATAGAATAAATGTAAACAATAACATATAGAAATGTGTTGTAATGGGGTCTGGAGAGATAGCTCAGCAGTTAAGAGTGTTGCTGCTCAGTCATCAGGACTGGAGATCAGATCCCACCACCCTTGTTGAACAGCTCACAAACACCTATGACTCCAGTTTCAGTGGATCTGGTGTCCCCTAATGGCCTCTTTGGGCACCTGCATATACTCGGGCATATATACTCATACAGACATGTAGACATAGATATGTACATAAATAAAATAAATCTGAAAGAAAGAAAAGGTGGAAAAATGAGTTTGTATGGTGTCTCTTGGGAAACTTTACTCTTCGTCCTCTTTGTCAGCCCTGTAGTCCAGGCTGGAGGTTCTTACTCCCTGGATTATTGCTGTGCTTTCAATTTTTCATCCTTTTTTTAAAATTAATTTTTATTTAATAACCACATGATTAGAAGAAGCATTTCATTACAGCTTTAACATATTCAGTAAAAATTTACGGAACAGGATACATCTCTTTCAAAAGTGGCTGTAAATTTTTAGGTTCACAGTTGAATAAATACAGTTATACAATATTGAACTCGATTTAGCTCATCTGGCTAATCTCAAAAAATGAAGTGCAATGTTCCAGCTCCTCAGATTTGCAATCTGTCTTGTTGCTGTCAACTTTTACTCCTCATTCCTTCGTTTTTTAAATAAGCTTTTTGTTGAGCATTTTATATATCCATACAGTATACTTTGATCATATTTATCCCTCTCCTCCTAATTCCCCAGATCGCCTCACTCTCACCTCTCGTCACCCCTCCCAAATTTATGGCCTTTTTAAAAAAAATAACCCACTGAGTTCAATTTGTGCTGCCCTTGTAGTCATGGGCGGGAGGCCATCCACTGTAATGTGGTTGACCTACCAGGGGAGCCATACCCCAAATTTATGGCCTTTTTAAAAAAAATAACCCACTGAGTTCAATTTGTGTTGCCCTTGTAGTCATGGGCGGGAGGCTATCCACTGTAATGTGGTTGACCTACCAGGGGAGCCATACCTTAAAGGAAACTGGCTTTTCCGTAGCCAGAAACCATTGGAGCTCATGAGTCCCTTCCTGCTGCATGCTGCATGCTACATGCCAGAGTTGCTGGCTTGATCTTGTAGGGCTAGTGTAGGAACCACAGCTGCAGTGAGTTCACGAGTACAGAGGTCCTGTGTTATGCAGAAGACACTGTTTTACTCTAGTCCTCCCTGATCTGTGGCTCTTGAAACCTTTCATTCCTTTTTACTCCTTTTAACATATAAACCTAATTATGTCAGACTGGTTTGTCTGCCTTATACCTAGGATTTTGTCTTATCACTTTATATTTTCCTTATTTTTAGTTTATTACTTAAAACCTTAATGATAATTTCTTCAGCCATTTCAGTCCTAAAAAGACTCTTCCTGTACTTTTAAAAATAATATTTTAATTTAGATAGTTTTAAAATTCTGTATGAAGCTTTGACATTGATTTTGTGTAACTTGACACTATTGAAAGTGATGGGGGAAACGTCTATTGGTTTGTTTATTTGCTTTGTTTTGGGTTTTTGTTTGTTTGTTTTTTGGTCTTTTTGAGACAGGGTCTCCCTGTAGCCCCAGCTGTCCTAGAACTCACTATGTAGACCAGGCTGGCCTTGAACTCACAGAGATCCACCTGCCTCTGCCTCCCAAGTGCTGGGATTAAAGGCGTGCACCACCACGCCCAGCTGTTTTTGGTTTTTAAGGGGGGGCGGGGGAGGTCTTCCTGTGTAACTCTGGCTGTCTTGGAATTCACAATAATCCTGTCTTCAATCTCAGCACTTGAGATTACATACCCATTTTGAAAAAGTTTTGTTCAAGAAAATTCTTTAAAGACTTTCTCTAAGTAAGGAATATGCCTTTTTATATGTATATGTTCATATGTATTATCAATTATAATTGATTGTATTCTTGAAATATTTGGTTTTCTAAAGCAGTACTTTATATGACATTATTTACCTGCTATTCATTAACTTCTATTAATGGTAGGGTCAATGTTCTCAATTTTCCTGCAGGGTGTCTCTACTCAAAGCCATTTTCTACAGTTTTGAGCAGTGTTCTGGTGAACTCTCTCTGCCTGTTCATTTACAGGGAGTAAAGAGTAAAGGGCAAGCCGAGGTGGCTGTCACTTTATATCATCATGTTTGTGTTCATCTGTGTGTGTTTATTGCTTCCTTTCATCCCTTGCTGTTTCCTGAGCTGGTAAGCATATTACCAACTTTAATAAAGTAGAGTTTATACTTGCCTTTTTTTCCATTGAAATTGTACTTGATATGAGAATGAATATTCTTTTGTAAACACCATCCCCTTAACATTTTGCCTTTTAGTTCAGTTGTATCCTAGGAAATGGTAAACCTTGATTCTTATAGTACTTAGATCTAGTATTTGCTTTAAATATTTGAGAAACTATTTTACCTTTTGAGTAAGGGGGTACAAGGAAATACTGTGAGAAGAGGAAAAATGAGAAGGGGATATTACTAAATAATTGTTTTTATGTTCCTGTACTAAAATACCCTGACCAAAAGCAGCTTACAGAAGGAAGAGTTTATTTTGGCTTACGGTTCAGAGGGGAAGTCCATAATAGTGGGGGAAGCATGCCAGCAAGTGCCTGGAATTTTAGAAAGCTGAGAGATCACAGCTTTGTGGCACACAGGAAACAGAAAGGGAACTGGAAATGGGGCAAGGCTCTAAAATCTCAAAGCCCCCCTCAGTGACATACTTCCTCCAACAAGAGTCCACCTCTTAAAAGATCCATAACCTCTTCAGACAGAACCACCAGCTAGTGAGTGACTAAGTGTTCAAATACATCAGCTTGTGGGGGACATTTTTCATTCAAATCAACCACACCTAAGTTTCATAAAAAGTAAGTAACAGCAATTTCAGAACTATTGTAGAGAGTTTTATTTTTAATGGAATTAGATTATTAAAGAAGTTGGGAGTATTTAAGGAAAAATTGATGATTGCTGTCTGGATAATTTGCCGTCTCAGCCTGAGGATGTTCAGGAAATAGAAAAATCCCTAGAATTTACCCAATGATTAGTATTTGAGATAGTACACAATGGATAACATTACCACAAGTTAAATGTTGCCTGTGAAAAAAAAGACAAAACTGTATTATTGTTGTTTGAAAACTTTCAGAGTGTGGTTTATGTAGCTTAATGATTGAGTTAGCACACTTAAAATCCATTTGGTTTCCCTTTGCTCAACACAATGATTAGCATACAGTAGGTGCTTAGCAGAAAAGGGAATGGCATTGCAGCTTCTTTCAGATACTAGGATGTAGAGCTTTCTTTCCATTGAGGATCTTTTATTTGGATTCTGATAGTGCTTTCTTGATTTGGTGTGAGTAATGTAATGTTAACATTTCTCGAGTGTAAGCCTATTAATGCACTAACATTTCTGTTTCTCCATAGGATACTGTTCTGTTGAATGCTGTGCTTAGTGCTAATATGATTACCTCTTTGTTAGCGATGGATGCCTGGTGCTTCCTTGCCCGGTAAAAAGTGCCATTTTGGTGTTTGGATTGGGTTTTAGTAGTGACTAAATGATTTTGTAATTGTAAGTTCATAGAAAAATTCCGTTTTTATAGCCCTTTAATAGCACCTGAAAATGGCCTGATTTCATGCTACTGTACTAAATTTGTAATCAGGTTTCCTCTTTCCCTTTGGTGCAAGCTAATGGATGAGTTATTTGTTGGGTAGTTCTGTATAATTATGGTATTCCTTGGTTATGGGCATATAGTTTGAGCATGCATGATTTGAAATCTAAAACAGTACCAAACTTTTGAGAACTGTTCTGATGTCACCATTAGGAAGTTGCATGCCATGAAACTTTAATGCACAAGGTTATTAGAAAAAATGTATAACAATTACTTTCAGGCTGTGTAGATAGCTTGTATATGAAACATAAATGAATTTCAAATGTAGACTTGGTCGCTATCTCCCATTCTTATAATGTATATGTAAATATACTAAACGAATAAAATCCAAACTCTGAAATACTTCTTGTCTAAAACCTTTCAGATTAAGGATACTCAACCTGTAATAGTAGTTCATTTGTGCTCACCAGGATATTTCTATCTTTGCTTCTCTGTGCAATTGTAGAAACTCAGTACCTTTTTAATGTATCATAGATATGGGACTGCTGAACTCTGTGCACATCATGTCACCTTAGTGGCTCATCTGGTAAGTAGAATTACGAAGACTGAAATATATATTTTCTTTAGGAATCTAATAATCTTTTAAAATGTGAATAACAAAAGTAGTAGTAGTAGCAGCTGAATTGCTTTGACATTTTCTCTGTTCCACATTAATGCTGATGCTAATAAGAAAAATGTATTACTGAAAATCCTTGTAAAAGTGGGAACATTTTCTCATTTTTTCAAAATGTATAAAGGGCCATGATCTAGGTTAAGAATAGTTTTTTAAAGCCATTTGTGGTGCCACACAAGTTTAATCTCAGCACTCAGGAAGCAGAGGCAGGCGGATCTCTGTGAGATTGAGGCTAGCCTGGTTTACATAGTGAGTTTCAAGCCAGCTCGGGCTTTAGGGAGACCCTGTCTCTAAAAAAGAAAAAAATAGAATTGAAATTGAATGAAAAATAGAAATGAGTTGTAACATTAATGGCTAAATGCTCATCTCTTTACTGTCACTTTAGCTCACCTGCGATTTTGTTGTGCTTTCAGTCAGGATGTTGCAAGGGACTAAGCAGTAGTGATCAGTGTCTTTAGGAAAAGAAGTCAGGTTTATTATTGAGTACAAAGATAAAGTGACTAAAGGAGCTCTTTTCATCTTAATGTTGAAATGTTTTGTTGTTTCTAATTCTGAAATATGTTCCATATGAAGTGATGGCCTGTCCCTTCTTGCTCTTTTGACACTGGCCTTTGATAGTGAACATATTGGAGCTTATCCACCTTTTGTTAACTGTGTTGTACATTTTTGATTTACCTTTAATGATGGTATAATCCAGTGAGGAATATAGCTGACACTCACACCTCCATAGCTAGTAGCCTGGACCATGACTTACTGTCCTAAAGCCTAACTCATCTTGTACAAAAGAGAGTGATTTGTTTTATATCTTCAGTCTCGATCATTTATTTCCTTTTGGGTACAAAATGGTATTAAGTTTGCACTGACCTTGACTATAGATCTTCTTGCCTCAGCCTCCTGAGTGTTAGGATTATCTTACAAGAGCTATCTCAACCTCTGCCTCCACATTATTGTGCTTAGATATTTAAAAATTCCATAACTTTAGCAGGATTAACATACCAAGTTACCAAAGTGGTAATTTAAACTAGAAATTAGTGTTTTTAAATGTAACATAAGAATTTCTTGCTTGTTATGAATATAATCTAGGTTATCTGAAACAAAAGGAACTGAAGAGTAGCCCTAAGTTAAGAATTAAAATTAGCTATAGTTAACCCTCAGAAAAAGCCATTATTAATATTTGGCATATGATGGTATTTTATAAAACCCCTGGTTTTAAATCAATCTCTTCTCTTTTCCTGTCTTCCCCAGATAAAATTTTGTCCTGGAGAATGTTTTCAGCTCACCAACCTATCAATACTGTTGAAGCGTCTCTTTTTCTTCATGGCCCTACCCCACCAGGCAAGGATATTGTCTGTGTCACTGTCAGCAAGCAACTGTTGAGAAATGGATTTTGATTCCTTCACCCCCAACTCTCACCCCTTTGTATTTTGAGACAGGATCTGACTGTGTAGACCAGGCTGGCCTTGAACTCATACAGATTCCCCTACTTCTGCCTCCCAAATGCTGGGATTAAAGGCATGTACCACCATGTCCTGCTGTACTCTACTTCGTTTATTCTGTATTTGAATGTGGTGTGACTGGAACATAAAATACATATTGTTTTGGTTACTGCTTTTAGGTCAGTGTAGATTTTGATGTCTCTTCAGGTTACAGATAATCTGATTCTGTCTTCCTGGAATACGTCTTTCTCCTTTTTCATACATTTAAGATACTTGTAAGCAATGAGATAGTTTTGTATCCTTTGCCCCATTTATTAGGCTTTCGATGATGCCTCATAGTTTTTATAGCAAATAAGATTGACTTTTCTTGCTTGTTATGAATATAATCTAGGTTATCTGAAACAAAAGGAACTGAAGAGTAGCCCTAAGTTAAGAATTAAAATTAGCTATAGTTAACCCTCAGAAAAAGCCATTATTAATATTTGGCATATGATGGTATTTTATAAAACCCCTGGTTTTAAATCAATCTCTTCTCTTTTCCTGTCTTCCCCAGATAAAATTTTGTCCTGGAGAATGTTTTCAGCTCACCAACCTATCAATACTGTTGAAGCGTCTCTTTTTCTTCATGGCCCTACCCCACCAGGCAAGGATATTGTCTGTGTCACTGTCAGCAAGCAACTGTTGAGAAATGGATTTTGATTCCTTCACCCCCAACTCTCACCCCTTTGTATTTTGAGACAGGATCTGACTGTGTAGACCAGGCTGGCCTTGAACTCATACAGATTCCCCTACTTCTGCCTCCCAAATGCTGGGATTAAAGGCATGTACCACCATGTCCTGCTGTACTCTACTTCGTTTATTCTGTATTTGAATGTGGTGTGACTGGAACATAAAATACATATTGTTTTGGTTACTGCTTTTAGGTCAGTGTAGATTTTGATGTCTCTTCAGGTTACAGATAATCTGATTCTGTCTTCCTGGAATACGTCTTTCTCCTTTTTCATACATTTAAGATACTTGTAAGCAATGAGATAGTTTTGTATCCTTTGCCCCATTTATTAGGCTTTCGATGATGCCTCATAGTTTTTATAGCAAATAAGATTGACTTTTGGGGAAAAGTTTCAACTATGATGAGCTTCAGTTGTTTGGTGTTGTGATGTCTACAAGCTCTGTTGTGAATGAGGAGATGCCAGAGTGATATGGGCCTGAGTAGCCTTGTCCACTGTTAAGACTGGTCCTATTGGAAGTGCTCTAGCAGATGTTTGTTTTCTTCTTTTTTGGTTTGTTTTTAAAAACAGGTTTCTGGACTCAAACCTACAAATGGAGTATGCTTTAATAAGGTTCAGATGATTTGCTTTTGTGGTTAAATACCTATGTGATTCTGACATGGAGTCAAGCTTGGGGACTACTGGATCAGTGAAAGGGATTAGTGTATAAGGCCACTCAGGTCTTGGTTTGAATCTTCAGTATCAGTGGTGCAGTATTAACACACGTGAAGGGAGTTAATCTTAGAATGGATATGTTTTACTAAACTGAAATTTTAAAAAAGATGTCTGATGATAATTTTGACAAGGAAATAGCAGTGTAGATGGATGTCAAAATGTATTTTCTGTTTCCATGTGGGAAGTAATAGCTAAATTAAAGAGTCTGGAGAGATGGCTCTGTAGTTAAGATCACATACGGCTCTTGCAGAAGACATGAGTTTAGATTCTAACACCCACGTCAGCTTACAACTGCCTGTAACTCCAGCTCCAGGGGATTTGATGCCTTCTTCTGTCCTCTGAGGGAACCTGCATTCATGTGCATATACCTACACATAGACACATACAAAATTAAAACTAATAAAAATTTTCAAAAAAGTTGAATTGAATATATAACTCTTAGTATTCTTATTTCAGATGTTCCCTGATTGAAGGGAAAGAAATGTACCTTTTCTAAAGGTACTAACAATTGTGTGTTATAGTTTCATTTCTGTTGCTGCAATAAAACACCTTGATTAAAAAGCAACTTTAAGGGGAGAAAAGGCTTATTTAGCTTACAATTCCAGTTTAAAGTCCATCAGCGTAGGGAAGTCAAGGCAGGAACTTCAAGCAGGTAGTCACATCCACAGTGAGAAATGAAGGCATACATGCTGGTTTGCTTGAACTCAGCTCAAATGTTCCACTTGTGCACAGTTCAGGACTCACTGCCTAAGGAATGGTGCCCCCCCCCCCCACTGCTTCTTCTCATGTCAGTCAACTGAGGTAAGACCACCCCCACAGACATGCGAGCTGCACAACCAGTGCAAAGTCATTTAGATTTCCCAGGTGATTCTAGGTTGTGTCAAGTTGACAGCTCATGGTGAAGATCACAGTGTGTGTTTAAAATAAAGTAAAAATCATTATATTTGCACCACAGGTGTATTTCTCTTCTCGGTTTTATGGGGGAGTCATAATTCTCTGTGTCGTATTTTTCTTATACACCATTCCTCATGAACTGTCAGTCTTAAGTCTTTAAAATGGTGTTGAAGCCAGTTTTACCTTCTGAATAGAATTTAGAACTCTTTTTTAAAAATATTTTATTATTTTTATTTTATGTGTATGAGTGTATTGCCTGCATGTATGTGAGTGCACCCGTGTCATGCAGTGCCATGCCGTAGAGGTCAGAAGAGAACTGGACCTGGAGTTAAGGACAGTTCATAGTCACCATGTGGGTGCTGGGACTTGAACCCGGGTCCTCTGCAAGAGCAGTCAGTGCTCTTAACCGCTGAGCCATCTCTCCAGCCCCAAGAATTTGGAACTCTTAAAGTGATCGGTTTTGGTGATACCTTTTGTACTGTTCAGAGCTTATTACATGTTGTTAATATTTTGAAAAGCATTCATTGACTTGGGACTTTTATTATAAAGAACATAGATGTTGAACTGACTGGTGCAGTTTGGTTTTATGCTAAAGCTGCTTGTTTAATTAACACTCAGCTCAAGGAAGGATCCATTTGGGGGGGCTTGTAGCCTTTGCCACAGCAATGACCACATAATCACTTGCTTGTTTGGCAACTAAATATTTTCTGTGAATGAAAGAGTTCAAATACAAATATATACAGAAAGGTTATCTGTCAAGTTTCATCTGTTGCTTTGGTTTTACAAGGACCCTTTTAAGTTTTGATGTAGGACAAGTTTTCAGAAATTTAATGTGTTTCAGTATTAAAAATTGTTTCATTTCTTAAAAGTAGATTAATACACCTTCTGGTTAAGTTCTACTTTAGCAATTAAATACAGTTTTTTTGCTGGGAGATTTTTGCACCCAAATCTAATAATCTAGTATTTGGACTTGTTTTTTGCTTCCTATTTTTATGAAGTCTTCTTGACATCTACATTTTAACAAATAAGTCTTGCTTCTTTGCTAACCCAGTAAATGCTTTCAACTTTGCCAACCAAAGTGGCTTCACTTTGGGAAACTAGTTTAGTATGTCCTCTAAAGTGTCACAGAGCCAGCTAACCCTTTGAAAACGGGATCTATGATCTTTGCTTCTCTTATGTTCTCTAATACAGTAACCTGAGATAAAAGTCAGCTAGGAGGGCGGTTAATTGATCTTGTTATATTTGGAGTGTAAGTTTTGACTTAATTGTATAAGGTGTTAAGTACTTAGGAAAATAAACCTAGTAAGTAGAAAAAAAGATAAAATATCTGATGTGAATAGTAATGAAATAGTTTAACATTTCCTTGTGCATCTGTAACATGCTTCACTTAAGTGCAGTTTTTCATTTTGAAAAGTACAATGTACTAGCAATAAAAAATAATCATGTTCACCTATATTTTATTGGTCTGGTACATGGTGATCTTATCAGGTATTTAAAAAACAAAATTTTTTGTTTTTTGAGGCAGGATCTCACTCTGTAGCCCTGGCTGGCCTGGAACTCACTGTGTATACCAGGACAGCCTCAGATTTGTAGAGATCCTCGTGCCTCTGCTGGGATTGTAGTGTGTAGTGTGTACCACCATGCCCAGCTTGAATTTTTATGATCTCAAGTGTTAGAGTTAATATATAGTTCTTGTGCATCCAGTCTTCCATGTCTGAAGTTACTTGTTTCATTTTCAACTTATTTCAGGTGGAATTTTTCCAAAAGTTTTCTCCAAAAGAAGCAGAAAATTTGCCTCTATGGCAGTACATTTCCTTCCACGCATTGTCTGCTGATCTTAGGAAAGAAGCTGCATGTGAAGTGACCAGAGTGTGCCTGGCCCAGTGCAGGAAATGGCTGAGCAGCAGTCAGACTTTGGGAGAACTTGAGTTTCTGGTGAGATAGTTTTGATTCATTCAGTTGTTTACTGAGCACTGTTTTATGGAGTAGGTCAGTAGGAAGATGGGTTATAGTCAGTCTCTTTCTCCCCCCCACCCCCGTAAAAACTAGTAAAATTTTCAAATCTGTATGTTATAAAAGGACCTAAGAATTGAAAATGTAACTTGTATTGGTGGTAGGAGGGTTTCCTCTATTGTGCAAAACACATTTGGAAAATACAAAGTAGTTGATTTGTAGTGTTTTCACTAATGCATGTTTGGGTGAAGCAGATGTGATTTTTTTTTTTTTTTAAAAGACAATGCTGTGTGTGCCCAGACTATTTTTGAATTCATGATCTTGCCTCATCCTCCCTAATGTTGGGATGATAGGTGGGTGCCAGTATGCCCAGCTTAGACATTATTCCTTTATTTGACAAAATACAACACATTTTATACAAACCTACTCTGAGCCTTTATGTGTATTTCTATTTAGATTGTTTCCTCCTAAAATGACATGAGATTCTTCTATATGTAGAAAGTACGACTTCTAAACGTGGACTAGATGTAGTACATGTAACTGAATTTCCCTATTCTGTTTCCCTTTGCTTATTTATTCAAATATATTTTGAGAGATCTTATGTAGTAAATTGTGTCCTAGGCATTGGGGGATAGATGAAACGGAAAACAAAATTTCTATCCTCCTGAACTTACATTTAGCTAAGCAGTACACAGTACAGTAAGTACCACTTTATGGTAAGTGGACAGTACCTGAGCCTGGATAGGAACTAGCCATTGCAGGAGTAGAAGGTATATTTATAATCTTTGGTTAGAAGTTCCTGGTCTTCTCAAGGGAAATCTTTCCATACTGAGAAGTTGTTCTGGTACTGCTGTAAAATATGGCAATTGACCATAATTATTAAGATAATTTAAAACATTTAAGTTTTATGTGGCTTTATTGTAGAAACTATTAAACAGCTATTTATGAGTGGGTTAAATTTGTTTTTATTTAATGTGCACTAAATTCTGATTGCCCAGCAAGTTCAATCTCTTAATGTACAGTACACTTTTATAATAAAGAAAAAATATCTTTAGTATATCAGATAAAAGCACCAGTTTTGTACAATTAACTCCTTAGGGTTATGACCAAAACTCCATGAATGTGTATATTTGGAAAGGAAAATGGATTGCTCAAATGAGAAGCTGTAAGACAATTCTGTAGCATGAGTGGATATTGAAGTATTGGATTAAAGTCATTGTTTTGGATCATCAGGTTCTCATACGGCTTTCACTTGACACCCGTCACCCCCTACAACTCCATTCCAGGCCACAGAGAGATCTGGGTTTTTGATTCAAATTCTACATGGTGTATTTCTCAAGTGCTATATTTGTTTATTAAATTCAGTGTTTCTGAAACATCTCAAGTGGTAAAACAATAGCAACAATAAAAATCTAGAAACCTATAAATATTGCTGAGTATATAATGTGAAAAAATATGTTGATGGATATTTTCAAATCTGAAAAAAGTTTTATGTGTATATGTGTGGCCGTGCACCACAAGCATGCAAGTACCTGTGGAGGCCAGAGAGGACGTGGAATCCTCTGGCGCTGAACCCAGATCCTCTGCAAGAGCTGAAAGTTCTCTTAACCATTGAGCCATCTTCCAGCCCCCACTGATGAATGTTTTAAATTAGGTTGACCATGTATAAAACCTGTTCATTGAAGTTCAAAGCTGTTGCTATTTTAAATGAAATTTTTACCCTAAAAGGAAAACAGTTTTAGCAAAATGGAGCAAATGTTTCTATATATAAGGAAAATTAGTTACAATAAAATATATCTGTATTAAGACAACTGAAAAAAATATGACTTTGGCACTTAAAAGTTTGATTTTACATGGAATCTTATGAAGAACTTAACTCATGCAATATCTTTATAATTGGGCCCCTGATCCTTTATACTTTCTATGCTTAGACCTTTTCCTCCCTTTCTCCCCGTGTAGAACACAGCACTCTCTGCCTTACTCACTATATGTAATTCTGCTGGTGAAGAGCTGGATGTTGGACAACGAACAGCAATTATTGAAGTTTGGGGTCAGCTCTGGGCTTTTTTAAACATTAAACAAGTAAGGAAAGTTACTAATCTTTTCTTTGAAAATAAAAATGTATTGTCAAGAGAATATTGCAGTTTCTCTATGGCGTAAAATTTCTAATGTATTTGTATTCACAAGCAGTTCTTTGTGTCTGTTTGGGGAGGGGAGTTATATATGATCTTGTGTTTGTGTGTGTACATAAGCAGATGCCAGAGGGTAAGGTTGGGTATCTTCTCCATCACACTCCACCTTGTTTTTAGAGACAAGATCTCTCATTGAACCTAGAGCTCCATTGAGCTTAGGGATCCTCCTGTCTTACCCCTTCCCCACTAGCACTGAGGCTGTAGCCTTGGCACTGCAGTGCTTGTCTTTTATGTGTGTGCTGGGGATCAGGAACTCACCTGTACCTCAGGCTCTTTACTGAGCCATCTCCTTCCCCTCTCAGGCAGGTCCTTCTCAGAGTGTGATGATATTAAGAAACTTAGGACCTAGTAAAGTAGCAGTGACAGAATATCTACTTGTTTTCATGAACTTGAACCCTTTTAAAAATGTTTCTTCATCTGTTTCTGTTCTCTGCTGGGTTACTGTAGTCTATTTGTGTGATTTTTAGCATTTTCATTTAATCATTTAGGTAATGAGACTGAATTGACTTAAAGGTGAAAGGGGCTAGTGAGTGGATGCATCTGATTTGTATTCCTCTTTCCAGGAAAGCCAGGAAGTCAAGTAATGATTATGCTGAAAGTAGAATGATGTATACCCTGCACAGAGTTGTAAACTTAAGTTTAAATTTTCTCTGACAGTCAGTAGAAGCTGAGAGCAAAATCCACACTTTGGGAAAGTAATAGAAATGATTTTGCCGATGATGGCTAAATTAATGATGCAGATTAAACCCAGGGCCCCCTGCATGTAAATGCTCTACCATTGACTACACCCTACACTCTGCAGAGCATGTTCTGTCATTCATTTTTATGGACACATTACCATCCCACAGTGTTTGGACTTTAGGTAGATACTTTAGGTAGATATCACCCAGTAGTCACTCAGGATATCTGGGCTGGAGCTATAGCTTCACAGTGGTATGATATAAACAATAGCCATGAAGAGGTACACTTTAACCAAGATGAACAGATTATTCAGTGACACACAACAGTAGTTGATCATCTTTAAAATTGGATTTGAATGGCTCTTTTTCTCAGTGGTGTTATCTTGAGCAGAATATTTCTCTCATCCTGTTATTAGTAAAGTGAGGATATTATCTGCTTCTTATAGTTGCTGTAAAGCAGACAGGTGAGGTAATAAATAGAAAGCATTTATATTAACACATATAATGTTCAATAAAAGTTATTATAGCTATTCTCATGTAATTGAAAATTTTCACCAGAATTTTTCTCTTTATTGTTTAAGGTAATTGGCCAACCCTGTGTTCAGCAGACATTTAGCCTTTTACTTAAACTACTGGGATTTTTCATACAAACTGTAGATCTTCAACTGATAAGTCAGGTAATAATACTTTATCAAGTAGTACTTTATCCAGTTAGTGCTTTAATGTTTGTTAATTTGGTATCACTTACTACAACCCTTTTTTGAGTTACTGTTTGGTCTGCTTGTAACCTTTAAGCCCTTCTCCCCACCTCACCCTCTGGTTTTTTGTTCGTTCGTTCGTTTTTTTGACTAGGTCTCATGGAACCCAGGCTGGCTTCAAACTTACTATGTAGTAGAGGATGCCCTTGAACTTCTGATTCTCCTGCCTCTATCTCCTGAGTGCCAGTATTACAGGTAAATACCACCACACTGATTTTTAAGTGGCTTTGTGCATGCTTAGGAAAACTCTTACCAACTGAGCTATATCCCCAGCCCTGTTACTCCTGCATGTGTCATTCACTTGTCTTCATCAAAGATGGCACCTATTTTTTCCTTCTAGTGTTTTGTGTAGTTGGCCTTTGTTTTCTATCATTTTATGTTTTTTTTTTTTTTTAAAGCAATGAAAATGTTATGTGGCTGTTTACTGCCTAGGAAAAATCCAAGGTCATGGTTGTTGTGTTGAACCCTGCATTCATAGCACTTTCAAAGGCACTGTCAACAGTTGTGAAATTATGGAACACTGGCAACTAGAACTTAAAGCTGATCCTCTTTGTTTTCTTGAATAAATGAATTTATTTTGAATAAATTAAAATTTATGTGTATGAGTGTTTTGCCTACATGTAAGTAAGTATACCATGTGCATGCAGGTCAGAAGGCATCAGCTGGATGTCACAGATAGTTATGGACTGCCATGTGTGTTCTAGAAACCAAACTCAAGAATTGCATGAGCAGTCGGTGCTTTTAACATCTGAGCCATCTCTCTAGCCCTTTTGAAAAAAACTTTTTTTAATTTTATGTGTATGAGTGAGTGTATGGCTTGCACATAAGTAAGTACACCTCTATCATGCAATGCCCCAGAAGTTGGAAGAGGGTGTTGAATACCCTGGAACTGGAGTTACGGATGGTTGTTAGTGGCCATGTGGGTGTTGGGAACCAAACCCAGGTCCTCCGCAAGAACAGCCAGTGCTCTTAACCACTGAGTCATTTTTCCAGCCCCAATTATGAAAGAAGAGTATTGATGAATTTCTTCTCTGGACCCCAACTTACATAGCTGGGTACTGGCAAACTTGAGTCACTTGTATGGAGTGTGGAGTGATGCTTTTTGTAATGCCTTTACTTGGAGCTTCTGAAGTAACAAAAAAATGGGAGAGGCCTTCCTTTACCTGATGTAATTTAAAGGCTTTGGGATGAGTCCATATCAGGCAGAATTGTTCTCTTGAATCAAGAGAGATTTAGTTCACAGGAAACAAAAACAATAGGAAAAATTAACCAAAAAATAGTAAAAGCGTTGTTTTAGGTAACTCTTGTTAATGGTCTATACATGAAGACATTATTAGTAATAGGCAAACCTATACTAATTAAGTATATTTTAATTATTAGTATAGTTAGTAACATGATACAATGGGGATAATAGTAAAGACCGAGAATGCAGTAAATAACACATTAAGCACAGTAAAATTTGAATTTGCTGATTTTGGAAGTTCTGAGGTTCTTTTAAAAAACACACGTAATATGACTTAAAACTGAGTATAACTACATGCAAAAGAACATGTTGCCTGCAAAAGCCCAAAATATATACTACTTTATTTTGTTTTTTGATACAAGGTCTATTGTTTCCCCAGCTGGCCTGGAATTCTATATAGACCAGGCTGGCTTCAAACTTACCTCTGCCTCCTGAGTGCTGGGATTAAAGGCATGTGCCACCACATCTGCTCTGCTGTCTGACTCCTTACAGAAAGTATGTCAACTCTTGCTTTAAATAATAAGCTTCTTTTAATAGAATTTACAATATAAAATAATTCTTAAAGGTTTGGTATATAATGCAGGGCACACGTGAATTTCCCCAGAGGTTGGAGGCAGGAGAATGTGTTGAGAACTGCTCATGACTCTTTCATTTGATGCAGATTCCAGTACAGTTCAAGTTTGTGAGCTGTTTGGTTGTTCTGGGTTTTGTTTCTGTTCCCCGCACACCCTAATATTGGTAGCAATTCCACTTAACTGCTCCTTGTTTTCCCTTCTGTAGGTAGTAACTTTGCTGCCCACACTACTGAAATTTGAGCCTCCTGACCACATCTCTTTGGCAGTGCTAGACTTTCTGTCTTCTCTAGGGAAACTTTTTATTCCTCAAGCTATCCAGGTAATATATTCTTGACAAAAAATATAAACCTTAAAAACAAAATTTCTGTAGTACCTCAGGGGTTTTTATGCTTTCCATTTTGTTATTGATGCTGTTCTGAGACAGGGTCTTGTAGAAGGGAGTCAGTCCTCCAGCCTCAGCCTCCTGAATGCTGAGATTATTGTGTGAACCATGCCAGGCATAGCCTTCTGATTTCTAAAATTCTGTCAGTTGCTGACAGTGAAATTAGGAAAAAATATTATCTGATGAGAAGGGTGGCTATCAAAATAGACTGAGTTTTAACTTTCTTAAAAAAATAAATGTGTTGACATAGAAATAATTTATCCAGTTGCCTATTGTAGTCTGAGATGGAAGATTCTCTGTTGGGTCCCAGCACAGTTTCTGAAAGATATTTTTGTCTTATAGGCAATAGTATCTAATTTGGAAATTTGGTAATTGCAGGTACTTTCTTGGCATATCAACAAAGCAGCCTGTTTATGTTGTAAAGTATGTATTGCTGACAAGTGGGAATCTTTCTTACAAAATGGAGAAAGACACTTATCGAATTTTAAGACCTAGCCATAGTAGATCCTTTAAATTGGGAGTTTTATCTTCCTTTTTATAACCTAGGTACTTTTTTTCTGTTATTAGAGCAAGTACACAATATTCGAGTACATATTTATTAAAATCTTTGAAACCAAAGTTTGGTTAATTTCTAAAGAATTCATTTGTCCATAAGAAAATGACACTAAATCGTGTTTCCATCATGTAAGCTTCTGTTTGAGATAAGCGTAGTACATATGTAGACAACTTTTCAATTCTCTTGACAAAAAATACCCAAAATATTTACATTTGAGCTGGATTGTTTTGGATAGGGTCTCACCATGTAGCCTAAGCTGGCTTCCAATTTGCAATCCTCATCTCAGTCTCTGGAGTTCTGGGATTATAAACATATACTATCTTTCTGGATGAGCTTTCTTTTTACCATAAAATAAGTTCACTCCAGAGTCCTGCTTGATTCATGCACAGCTGTAGACTCTGCCCATTAAGTACAGAATCTATGGAGCAAAAGCTTATTATCAGAAGTAGCAGTGCCTTAAACACTCCCTGGGGGAGGTCAAGTCCTGAAGAAAAGTTTGGAATTCATGAGCATAGGTGACATTTAAAGCCATGAGATAAATTCATGAGTTCTTGCTGTAGCAGCTGCTGTTTTAATCCTCAGTCTCAGCCTGCTGAGAGTCCATTGACAGACTGTGATGCATGTGTAGTAGTAAGTGGTGGAGAGTGCTGTGGAGAAAAATAAAAGCAGAGGGGGAAGCACAGGAAACCTGTATGAGGGGAGGGTTCAAAATGGTATAGAGTCAGTCAGGAGAGTCCTTATGAGGGCAGCAGTTAGAAAAAATCTGAAGGGGAAGGAGAAAGCCATACAGTGTCTCTGGAAAAGTCAAGCGGTAGTGGTAATGTGGGGGCAGGGGAGCAAGTGCAAAGCCTCAGACAGGAGCATGTTTGTTTATTTGGGGAAGCTATTGTATAACCGAGGATGGTGGTACTTTGCAAGTCATTGTAAACTACTTGTTTTAACACTGAGGGGAATGGGAAGTTTGTGGAAGAACTTAAGCAAAGAAATAGAGGACATAGTGTGCTTCGTACAAATGCTCAGGATAGGATTGTGAAAAGCTGGAAACATCTTATACTAAAGTTGGTTTTTCTCTAACAAGGTTTGGTTCTATTTGTAGGACAAGATTCTGCCTAACCTGTCATGCATTCTTGCTCTACTGCTAACCAGCCGGAGTTGGCTGCTAGAACAACATACTTTAGAGGCATTTACTCAGTTTGCTGAGGTAATTATTATAAGGTCAATATACCACAAGGATTCCCAAAACATTTTAATATTTCAAAAGTTCCAGAACATTTCAGAAGTACTTACTAAGCTGCTTCTTTATCTCAGTTGTCAAATTTTCTGTTGGAGGAGATACTAATCTTTATTTTCTAGGGCCTCATTTTAAGGCCTAGAGCAATGAAGGAACTGTCTCCAAAATTCTCTCAATTAGGAAGGACTAGGCATTCAGACTAGATCTACCCCGATGCTGCCTTCAGAAGTCTTTTGGGATTGGTTCTTGATGTGAAACCTTCAAGTTGGTTTGGTTTTAGACAGAAGGAAACTCTGCTTTGAGGTTAAATCCTGAAGAAAAACATTTGGAGTTTCTCTTTTGGAAATGCTTTTTACTCTGCTGAGTGCCTAAGTCCAGAAGCATCAGTATGACTGATGCAGAAGTAATTAACCCTTACAACACTAGGCCTGCATAAATGTTAAAATTATCCCTAAGGCTCCTTAAAAGAACTTTGAGCATATATTGCCTTTGGGAATCCTTGGGCACTGTTTACTAAATGAGATTTTAATTATGATAGTTTTAAAACTTTAGAAGTTGCTGAAATGTACTGATCCGTCTTCTTGTTGATCTTTTAATAGGGAACAAATCATGAAGAGATAGTTCCACAGTGTCTCAGTTCTGAAGAAATTAAGAACAAAGTTGTAGCCTTTCTGGAGAAGGTATTAAATTTATAAAGTCCTTGTTTTAGTCTTAATCATATATATTTTTATTCTTAATCATATATTTTTATTGTGTATTTGTAATCAACTTAGCTTAAAACATGTAACTAAATGTATACTATACATGTAATATATATATGTAATTAACATGAACCAGGGCTTTGCATATCCTAGACAAGTGCTTTACTACAGTCCCAGCCCTAACTTAAGACTTTCTAAAGCGCTCATAAAAATGCTAACAGATAGGCTAAGCATCTCTAATGCAAAGTACTCCAAAAAAACCCCAGAAAATACCACACCATAAACTCGGTTTCATGCATAACATTTCTAAAAATATTGTGTACAATTACGTTTAAGGATGGCATATGAATTTCATGCTCACACTTGGGTACCATCCCCCAAAGTATCTGATTGTTTATGAAAGAAATCTGAAGCAATTTGTAGAAAAGGATATACAACCTACACTAATCAGTCAAGGGCATACATCAGAGAAGCCAGCCACTTGGAATTTGCAAGTTTGGGATATCATAGCATTGCTAAATCTAGGTAGTAAGATGAAAAGTGAGGACCCCCTAAGCCACTGATAACCCTAACTGGGTACACATGATTATAAGGCTTATGATGATTTTTTTTTAACCCTGTATTTTAGTATGATTTAGATGTATTTTATACACCAAGCCAAAGACGGTTTTCCCAAACTGACATTTTTAATATTTATTACTTTTATTCTATGTGTATATTGCCTACATGTATATGAGTGCAGACTGACATTTTTAAAAGATGTTTTTACAGTTTGGTGGAACCATTAATTCTAGGGATCCCATGCTTGTGTGTACTTTGGAAATTTATATGGTACTCTTGCTAGGATATAAGGGATAATTGAAATACTAATAAACAAACCTGTCAAACCACAGATAAAAGTTCCCGGAAAAGTAACCTATGCCCAAGTACATATTTAACTGGGATATGTGTATTATACATGGAACTAAATGTATAAATATGTATTATATGTAGGGCAGTTTGCATCTAAGCTGGACTTTATGTACATGTGTATATAATTGCTTTTGCTAATATCTTACCCTATACAGTAAGTAACAGACTTTTTCTTGGAAAGGTGAGTTTTAACTTTTCTGTAGAAAAGGACATGGTAAAGGAATTTTATTCATATTATCCTATCACCAGCACTTACAGATATATCTACCCAATCTAAAATTTGCCTGGTCACATGTTAAGCCCAAATGGTTTTAACACTCTGAACTTATAGACATATATGAACATTAACTGGTCCTTTCATATTCTAAATCCCATACCACTTGATAACTAGTAGAGAATGCTCATGTGTTGGTGTTTACTTGGTTTCTCATGGTCTTTGGCAGACAGGATTTGTAGATGAAACTGAAGCTGCCAAAGTGGACCGTGTGAAACAGGAGAAAGGTGTCTTCTGGAGACCCTTTGCTAAGGTGACTGTGGAAGAAGCAAAGGGGTCAATTTTACAGGTATGTGTTAGACAAGGGAATTTCTTCCCTCATGACAGATAAAACAAATTTGGTTCAATTCTTACCCTTGTGTTGGATTTCCATCTAGACATGTAAAATTCTCCCATTTTATGGTAGTTCCACTTTAAAGAATAGTCACATATTCTGCCTGAAATGTTAACCAACAGAGAACAACAAAAAAATTGTTGCAAATGTTATACCAAATAAACTTTATTATTGGGAGAAGTTACGTATTATACGAATGACGACAAATATGGCTTCTGACCACACAGAAGTTAATTGACTTTAAAACGTTCAGTTGATCTTGTCTCATTGAACCAGCCTTATAGTCAGTTGTCTGGGTATCACATGTACCTATCATTGGCAGAAATTTGACACTACTGCTATTCAAAATTCTGTTTTGAACACTAGGAACATAATTTGAATTGTAAACTATAATAAGAACAGTGTTCTAGGTTCATGGTATAATAGTAACTTAGTTTTACAATGTAAATTTTACCTGAAATACATTAATGTTTAATATGAATCAGTTATGTAAATCAGCCCTTATGAATTAAAATGTGACATTTCTTCAAAACTGAAACTAGATTATTAGGTATGTCTTGGTCCCTGTTCCCCCTTCCCTGTGCAAATGTCTGAAAGCCTGAGTTTTTTTCATCTGTCTCCAGAAGCATCCAAAGAACTCTGGTTCTCATAGTCACAACTTAAGTACAGGAAATTCACTTTCACTTTTCCCTATAGAGTGCTCATTGACAGGGACAAGGCAGCATTTCTCATGGACACTCACTCAGACAGGATGCTTTGATGCTTGCCACTTATAAATTAGGACACTGGTGGTACTAGCACTTTATGACAACCAAGAGCACATTTATGTACAATTCTAGATGGGGAGGGTGCCCTTCTTTGTGACCCTATGACTGTTTTTGTACAAGTGTTATGGCATGATGCATCCCATGTGCTCCTTATTTTCCAGCCTCATGCAAAAAGAGCCCGTCACGAGTGCCCCTTGGAAGAAGAGTACAGGTCAGCACTGCAAGCAGCAGCAGGGGCTTTGGAAGCAACTGAGTTGTTACTCCAAAAGGCTCCTGCTCCAGGCTGGCTGCTAATGGAGATGGAGGCACTGCAAGAAAGGATCGAGAAGATGAAACACTGTGTTCTCCAGGGTGAAACGTGAATAAGCTGTGTTATTACCAGACAGAACTGGGTTTGATGCTTTATCAACTGCCTGAATATTTGTAAATGAAATTACTACTGTAAATTATGTTTGTAGATTTTGTAGCACATATAAAAGCTTTTTTAAATGTGAAAATAGTCTTTATTTGACATTTAGAGAACAAGATTAGGGGAGATTCTTCTCATTAAGAACTTTGGTACAGTGTAATACATGTGAAACAGTCTGTAACTGCCCAGGCCCATAAAGGAAAAGACCTTTCTTTGACTCAGGTGATAAAATTATAAACAAATAAATAAGCTTCCTAAGGAAACCTTAGCAGTTTGAAGTCATAATTTACAGCTAAATTTTTTTCAGTAAGTTACTATAACATAATAGAGCTTACTCTTCTTTTAAAGAAATGGCACAGAATTAAGCTTACCTGCTTGAATTTTTTTTACTTCCAGAACTGTTCTGGAAAAAGCACTTCTTCAGTTACCTGCTCTGCATGTAAACTGGTCTGGTCAGCGCACACAGGCTTTTCCTCCTAGAAACAAGTACCAAGAGCGTCCTACCTATCACTCAAGGATTTTCGCTAGCAACCTGAGGTTGGGCTCAGGTTCAAGTTGGCACAAAGAACAAAAAGAGCTCCTGGTATAAGAAGACAGGCTGCCTTTGGGCCTTCTTGTCCATGCAGTCTGCTTCTGAGGTATAAAGTTTCTTAAAAAGGAATCCTTCCTCATGTTTAGCTCATACCCATTGTCACCAGTTATCTTCCCAGTTCAGCTCTCCTTCTCCCCAGCCTTCTGCCTCTCCCTGTAACAAAGCATACCAATAGCAACCCGCTGAGGCAAATGATACACAATCTACAAACTCAGGTATTTAAAAGTAACCCACCACCCCTTGTTTTTGATGCCAGAATATACTGTCTTACGTTAACTAAAGCTGCAATGAAAGCTTAAACAGCATTGTGCTACAATGTCAAAAGGCTTGACACATGAGGGATTAGTCCAGTTTTTTTTTTTCAGCACAGAAAAAACATTTCTAGGAATTGGTTTTGTTGATTCTGGGTTTGACTTGGATCATTTTAACCAACTGTGCAAACTACTTCCTTCACTGAGAAAACAGCTTCCTTATTGTGAAGTAGGACCTATAAGGGAAATCCTTAAACAAGCACATTTACCCCAGAGAAAGTACTCACCTCAGTCATTTCTGTTGCAGCAAACTTTGAGGAAAACTGCATCACTGGTGATATATTATCCTTGTCAGGGACCATCACGTCTGTCCTCAGCTCAGGTAAAATAAGAAAAGTACCTGAAGGCTTAATTTCTGGGATCATATCAGCAAACCAGTCCAACTCAGGATCTTGTACTGGTTTTTTTTTTACTTGTATGGTAAACTCTTCTCCTAAACCAAGTTCTGATCGAACCTTAAGGGGCCTTTCTTGTGACGTTTTTGGTAGCTTGACATCCCCACTCTGTACATGACAGGTCTTTTGGGAAGGACTCAATTTCAAAGGGTTAGATTCTTGAGTAAGAGGAAGCAAAGCCGCTGTGGGCTTCTGCTCCTCTGAGGTAACAGGCACAGCTGTTAGGTTTACTTCAGTACCTATGCTGGGCTTACAGTCATCCAAGGATTCCACCTCTGCATTCAAGTCAGTGTACTGTGACTTGGCATCACAGGGTTCTTGGGGCCAAATCTGAATACTGACAGTTTGGTTGTCAGGCTCCTCAGGCTCACTCCAGTCAGGCCACTCCTCAGACTTTTTAGAGCCTGGTGGGAAATTTTCACTGATGTTCTTCACATCTGAGATCCCATTCATAGGGAATTGAATAAAATGAGAAAACTGATCACCTATGGGTATACAAAGTATTATAAAATGCTAAATGTAAGCAAGTAGATCTAATTACTTGGAAATGTCCATATACACTAGCAAAAGTCAGGTAGAACATAACAAAACTTCCATATGTATACGGTATCTAAACATTTAACTCAAAGGAAGCATACCATGCCATGTCAATACTTAACTTGTCTTTTGATCCTTTATTAAATATCCAAATATTGGTATATTTATAAATATGCAGAGTCAATGTTATTTTTGAGTTTATAATTACATATACTTAAATGTGTGCCCAAATAAAGTTTTTAAAATTATTTTTATTATTGCATGTAATGTAATAGTATGTGAGCGTGGATGCATTCCTGCCACTGCATGGGTGTGGAGGCAAAAGACAACTGTGTGTGGTTGGTTCTGTCTCCTTTCACTTTCATTTGGGTTCCAAGTACTGAACTCCCATCATCAGTCTTTTATCACAAGTACTGTTACATCTGAGTGTGCCTGCAGAGGCCCCTGGATTTCCCCTGGAGCTGGAGTTAAAAGCATTTGTGAGCTGCCCAGTATGGGTGTTGGGAGCTGAACTCAGATCCTCTGCAAGAGCAGTACATTCTTTTAACCACTGAGCCATCTCTCCAGCTCAAATAAGTTTTTTTTTTGGTCTCTTTGAGACAGGGTCTCCCTGTAGCCTGAGCTGTCCTGGAACTCACTATGTAGACCAGGCTGGCCTTGAGCTCACAGAGATCCACCTGCCTCTGCCTCCCAAATGCTGGGATTAAAGGTGCGCGCCACCACGCCGAGCCCAAATAAGTTTTAAAAAGACTTCCCTAAATTTCATTAAGTTGCTAAGAAAACTTGTGTTTACTCTGCTACCCTTTCTCCAAACTTACAGAAATTTTTTTCACTACATGTCTTTTTATTAACATCTTTCACAACTCTCATTTTTGGTATGATATAATGCATGGAGAAACTAAAATATGAAAGTTAATCTGATAGAAAAATGAATTCAAGTAATGCCAACTCATTCTCACCAGTTTTGAAGAGATGTTAGGTATATAATCAACGGTTGGGGGAGATAAAATGAGATAAAGCTAATCAAAGCTTAGTTTTGTAAGAGAAGTTCAAAAGAGGCCTTACTTTTCAGGATTTAGGAAAAATCTAAGCAATAGGAAAACCATACAAATGTAATGCTTCTACCTGTCTGTGGAAGAGTGCTGTAGCAACCTTGCTTCATGTGCCTCCTGCTGGCGATGGGCATATTGCCAGAAAGGAAACACTTAGGGAATGCAGTAGAGGAGGGGTTCTCCACCACTTGTGAGAGCTGAGTCCGCTGACTGCAGACAGCATGCATGGGAGAACCTGAAGAGGCATGCAGTCATCACATAAAAAAAGAGTAAAGTGCTTGTTACATGTTTGGTAAATAGTGGTTAAAGAAAAGGGGTATATTTAGCAAATATCTGGAAAAAAAACAACAAACTATTACAGAATGGGTTGCCTAGTGCTTTAAAGACAGGTTTTTGTACACTATACTTGGTGGGGATGGGATAGGACGAATTCAAGCATTACACAGAAACCTCATTAAGAAGTTATACCTCTTAAAACCATTTTTGGTAATATAAAACTGTGATTCTAATTTCCTATTAAGAATAAAAGGCTTTAGTAAGTACACCATCCTAACGAACATGAATATACTTAGCGCCACGTAACTATACAGTGAAAAATGTTATGCTATGGATACTGAAGTATAAAAGGGGGTAGTTTCAAGAAAATGCTGTCTTTAACAGTAAATTTATACTCAAGACTGGGTATTTGTCAGAAAGATTCGGTACAATTATGGCTGAATATTAACTGTCTTAGAGTAAGGGGAATAACTGTCACTACGAGAGGCTTCCAGGTCTCTACATCACCTCTGTTCTTTGACCCAGCCCTTAGTGCCTAGCCCTACAAGCCAAGTGAAGTAAATTAGAGACCCAGAATTTTGTAATGAAGTAATGGTCTTATTCAACGTTATACAAAGGAGCAAAAAAGTAATTATATTGTTGATAATTCTTTTAAGGACAGAAATTAAAATACTATCTTCCATAAAAGGTACAATGGGAACATACAAACTTAAAAGAGCCAGATGTGGTGGGGTATGCCTTTAGGCAGAGGCAGATGGATCTCTGAGATCAAGGCCAGCCTGGTCTACATGGTGAGTTACAGGCCTGCTAAGGCTACAGGAAGATCCTGTCTCAAAAAGACCCTCCCAGCCCTCCCCCCCGCAAATTCTTTAAGTATCCCACAATAGCTTTTCCCAACAGTCCAGCAAAATCAGCTAAGGCTACAGGAAGATCCTGTCTCAAAAAGACCCTCCCAGCCCTCCCCCCTGCAAATTCTTTAAGTATCCCACAATAGCTTTTCCCAACAGTCCAGCAAATAGGAACTTATGCATCTAGTGTTAAAAAGATAAAACAACCTGTTTAGCAACTTAACAGCATCTACTAAAAATTTATGTTCTTTGACCCAGAAAGTAAGTCTCTTTCTGAGATTACCTACGGCAACAAAATCCAAACACATTAAGACGCAAAATAAAGTGGCATTATTTATATAATGGTTAGAACAAATGGCCTGGAGAGGTGGTTCAGTGTTAAGAGCACTGGCTGCTTGTGTAGGGGACCCAGGTTCAGTTCCTAGCACCCACATGGTGGCTAACTGCCTGTAACTTCAGTTACAGGGGATCTGATGCCCTATTCTGATCTCTGGGCACTGCATGATACATGTGCACTTACATATATGCAGGCAATATATACATAAAATAAAATCTAAAATAGTTTAAAAATCAAGCATTGAATGGATATAATATCCAAGACTAAGTAAATCACTGATGACTGGATTTGGTGGAATGTTAGGCAGGTACAAAAAAAGAGCTAGCTAGATTTCTATGTATTGGCCTGGACACACATCTTTAATATGCAATACATGAAAATAAGATATAGATTTGGGCGTGACATTATTAAAAATAATCCTGATTAATAATGAGTGTGTGGAATATATCTATAGGTCCCTTTACGGAATTAAACTATTAAACTCTCTAAACTATTAAAGACTATACCCTCCAAGGAGTTTAGAAAGGGAAATTAAACTTTTTTCTCATACTTCTTGCTTGATCATTTAGCTCAATATAAGCCTGTACTATAAAATATTAAAAATAGAGTAACAATAAAAATAATTTTTAGTAATTCTTACCTTCAGGAGAAAGGTCACTAGTTTTAGTAAAACTTGGAGCAGTGCGTTTGAAGATTTTGGTTCTTTCTCCTCCCACAACCACTTCTGGTCCAAGTAGAGACACCAGCACTGCAAGGCTACGAAGAGTAATTGCCACAATGGCATCGCTGGTGTCACGCAGGCCTAGTAATACCTAGGAATGAAAGTGGTGATGGGTATACAACCACAGTTCCTATCTCTCTTCTGGAAAGAACCACCTGGCCTACAATCGACTGTGTGCTTATGTGAATGACATTTTCCTAGATATTTCCAAGTCGGTGGTTTTCCAACTATCTGTGGAAAGGCCAGTATCTTTTCCATCCTGGATTGATACTTTAAAAAAATATAACCAGGGCTGGTAAGATGGCTCAGTAGGTAAAGGTGCCTGCTTCCAAGTCTGATGACCTGAGTTGGATCCCCAGAACCCAAACATGGAAAGAGAGAACCAACTGGCACAGGTCTTCTGACCTCCCCATATGTGCTTCATGGCAGGTATGTGTGCACAGAGACAAACAAATGGTAAAAAACTGAACCTAATTAAATATACTGGAAACTAAGAACTACGTCAAACTGCTATAAATGCAATTTTATTTTGTGTTTTGTGTATGAGTGTATTGTCTGCATGTGTGTTAAGTGCACCCATGTTGTACAGTGCCCACAGAGGTCAGAAGAGGGCATCGGATCCCCTGGAAATGGAGTTAGCTGCCATATGGCTACTGGGATTCAAACCCCAGTCTTCTGCAAGAGCAGTCAGTGTGCTCTTAACCACTGAGCCATCTCTCCAGCTCCTAAAAATGCAATTTTAACTGTAACCTTCACATTTGTACTTTCCTCCTCACAGAACAAAAACAAACAATTGAGGATTGACTCAGATCACTCCTCTAGGGCATGACAACTATGGTCCTGGTCTTTACCCTGCTGCTCAGCTCTATATACCCAAAGGTTAAGATCCTTAAGAACTTTATGTATAATGTTTTTAACACCTGCCTCCAAACTGAGCCAATCATGATCTCTCCCTGCATATAGCTGCAATTAAGAGAAACAAGTGGGCTCTGATTTGCTTAAAGGCTAGTAAACTAGATGACATTGGGCCATGTGCACATCAAAATAAGAGTCAGAAGTAAAGTAGATACAAAGAGAAAGGAAGACCTGTGAGACCCAACCGTGCTTGATTTCCAGTTTAGGTCACCTGACATCCTTTTATTAAATTATTTTGGCTATACATGGTTTAATATCAGTTTTAGTTACTTGTAATCCAGAGCATCTTAACTGAGGGTATCAAGCAGACATCAGGAGGTGTTTTGTTCTGTATCAGAAGATAAGCTGCACTAGCAGCCACAAGGCCGGGGTAGCTGGTCACCTAATGGTATCAGGAATACTGAGTTCCAGCCCTTCAACTTGACCAATTAACCATCATGTATTTCTTGTCTAGTTTCCATATTTATGTAAGATCAAAGCTTTTCCCTTTTTAATTTTATTATTTTTTAGTTAATTCATTCATTTTGGTCTTTTTGAGACAGGGTCTCCCTGTAGCTTCAGCTGGCCTGGAACTCACTATGTAGACCAGGCTAGCCTTGAACTCACAGAGATTCACCTGCCTCTGCCTTCCAAATGCCAGGATTAAAGGCATGCACCACCACATCCAGCCTATTTATTTTATGTGTATGGGTGTATTGCCTGCATCTGTGTAAGGGCATCCGTGTTGTGCAATGTCTGCAGAGGTCAGAAGGTGGTGTCGGATCCCCTAGAACTGGAGTTTATTAACGGTTGTTAGCCACTATGTGGGTGCTGGGAATCGAACCCAGGTCTTCTGTAAGAGTAGTCAGTGCTCTTAACTGCTGATCCATCTCTCCAGCCCTGTTCAAGTCTTTTTGGTAAGACTCAATAATCCCAATGCTAACAGGAACTTCCTCCAAGTAAGGCTGTACAAGTAAACCAAAGCATGTTTCTGTACATGATCAGAATTCTATCAACTGATATGATAATCAAAGAACAATCCACATAAATCCTGGACCCATCATTCTCAACTCTCCTTCACTGAACGAGAAAGCCAGTCCTAACGCTCTCACCATTGCATGCTTTACCTAGTCTTTATCAGCTCTTGGCTCAGTGATTCTAACAGTGTCCCACTCATCTCCCTTCTCTATGCCTGTCTTCCACATGGCTATTTTCTAGCACACAGAAATTGATCTGTTTATTCAGTGGGGAATGGCAGCAGTTATCCAAGGTAACAGTTAATGAAGCTGGCAGTTATGTAACTTATTAGCTATCAGTTTTCTAAATGATGAGTGCTTCCACTGTCTTTCTCTGACCTCTGTTGCTGAGGTAGAGTGCTCTGTTTCTCTTCTCAATTACCAGACACTATGCAGGGGGACATGCAAATGCATATGCAAAGTACCAGGCTGTGGTAGGTAGGATCTAAAGCTCCCAGTGGAGCACACATCCACAATCACATGTCAGCCTATCCTAGAGCATGAGTTACGTGACTCAATTCAACCAAGTGAATGGGGCAGAACTGATATTGGCAACTCCTAGCTTCCATCTTAAGGCTGATTTTGCCCTTTTATTAGCCCTGATCAGTCATACAAGAACTTCAGTACCTTATTAAAGATCATGTAGAAATGTTGTGGAGGGGTAAGGGGTAGGGAACAAATGCCTTAAGTCTTCCTGAGAGTTCATGAAGACAAAGGCTTGGCCTTCCCAAACTCTAGTCATAAGCCATCTCTCTAAGACACCAAGGAGTCAATTTGGATGTATCAGTCCTGGTGAGGCCCTGAAGGCTGAAGCCTTAGCTGACACCATGTGGAGCATCAAAACGCCTAAGCTGAGTCAATCCAAAGAATCATGAGAATTAAGAAATGTTTGATGTTTTAAAACACTAAGTTTTGGGGTGGTTCATTATAGACCCTGGGCTATGTAGTAATAGGTGAATGAAACATTTTTGCCATTTGTGAGCTAAGTGAACACAAGGGAAGTATTAATCTCATAGGAAAAGAAATTATTTGAAAGATACTGTGTGACTGGAAGATTAAAAATATTTTTTTTTCCAAAATAAAATTTGTGCTACATTAAATAAAACCCCTCCAAATTTCACGTCCATACAGAATGTGAGTGACCTTTAGGGAAAACTACACTAGGTTAGGGTAGGCCCTAAATTCAAAGACCTGTCCTATACCAGGTAAAGTCAGACATGGTAACACATCTGAAATCCCAGGGGAATGAGGCAGGAGGATCAGGAGTTAGGACCAGCCTGGCCAATGTGACCAGACTGGAAATACAATTTCAGCCCTTTTATATTCTAAAAGCTTTTAAACTGAACTACTGCCTCAAGGCTAAGTTGTTACCTGAAAAACACCTTCCTCCTTTCATTCCCAAAGTGGCAGCGCCCTTTACCAACTCATCATCCTGCCTTTTGAAGGCTCTATGCAACCCAGCTGCCAACTTGGTCCTGACCTGTGGCAAGATGACTTTCTTCAGCTGCTCCTGAGTGAAATGCTCCACATAGGCCTCTATGTGAGACAGCAGGACCATCCGCACATGTTCCTCATGGACCTCAAACAACTGGAGAAGTACAGGGATCACCCGAGACTGGAACAGCGCTGGCGAGAGTAAGCAAGGGGCGTCTCCCGGTGCATTATCTACCCCCAAATTGGAGGTTACAGACAGAAAACAAACTGTCATTTCAATGAAAAAGGGACATGATTCATAAACTCTGCCCAGAACTTTATACATGTTCTGTGTATGCTTCTAAATTCTTAAGCCCCAAGCTAAAGGAATTTTCTTCTCAAAATTATGCAAGGATTTACTCTCTACATCCTGGTTATGTTCCTTGTTAGTGGATCCAGCAAAAAGTCTGTAAAATGCAGTGAGGTAGTGGTTTATGGTTTATCCTCTCTAGGATCCCTGATTGAAAGGATGGAAGAGCTCTAAAGAAAAATTCAAGACTAAAAGAAATGATAAATGAATCTAGAGATACAACATTCTAAACTGTGAAGTAACTACCCATAGTATCTGCTGGATTGACTTCATTTAAGAAAATGAATTCTGATAGCAGGATCTAACCTAACTGTAAATTCTATAGCATATCAATGATGCCTTCTCTAAGCTGATGTGTTACCATCTGAAAGACTACAATGTTAGAAAGTTTCAAAGTAGTACTTTCATTTCACATTTAGAAACCCCTACCAGAAAATAAAAAGTCCAAAGAAGCAAAATGATCTTAGTCATTTTCAACCTTTTTACTAAATACAAAATGGAGTTTTCAGTAAGTTAGGAGGCATATGCCTAAAGATTCATAGAAAAGGTAACCTGAATATGTATCCTTAAGTTTGTGTGCTTCATATTGTATTTGAGAATGTGCACACACGTTTAGTGTATAACAACTTAATAATTGTAAGTATGGCTTTCTAGGAAGATGTAGGACGCTGCTTATTTACCTGTGGGCTTTGGTACCTAAGTCTGAGTTAAAGCCACCATATTAGGGATCAGTAACTGTTCTTTGCTTTTAGAGCCAAACATTAATTTTATAATATATGGACTAACAATCACCGAACTACTTAATCATTAACAACACTGGAAAAAAATTCACCTTTTTTGGGACCAAGTAGATAGGGAAGAAAACTCTTAACAGCTACTGGTTCTGCAAACACCAGCTGATTAAGCAGAAGAGGCACCAATCTTGAAGCTATTAATTCCTCCGACAAGCAGCTTACTCTGTCCAGTAGAAATCTGAGGGGAAAACAAAGCTGAGAAACTGGCTGTGACAGATTTCTCTGCATGGGTTGGCCACTGCCACTTCTAGCAGAGGGATGTACTCTGAAACAGGAAAAGGGAACAGGCTGCATGGTGTAAGTTATTTGGTACATTGTCATGTGTCATTTAAGTTTAATGAGAACTGACTCAGAGTACAAGAGGCCCTTGTCCCAGACTCAAGCATATTTGTGTAAAGTGTCCTCCAAAATCCCCTGGTTCTATAATCAGAAGAAGAAAAAAGAAAGTCAGCAGCCTATGGGTATTACAAACGCTACGCCCTTGAGAACAGCTAGAAGGTAAACCAATCCAACAGAGATAACTTGTTTATCCCATGGTATAAAAATGCCTTCCAAGAGAACAAGAAGCTGGAAGCTCTTCAATGGATACTCAACTGGAACATCAGCATGACTAGCTGATTTCTCCTAAATGATGGAAGCCTCAAATTTGATGATGTTATCTGTGTTTGCTCTCACTCAGGCTATTCCAGTTGTCTCTGCTGGATGCTGTAGACTCCTGATTTGATGATGTTTTGCTATCTACCTACTGCTTCTATCTGCTAGTTGCTGCTTTTACTTTTGATTGCTACATTCTTAATATACAGCCTTCCTGGCTGTCATTTAATATCTGCTTTGCCTCATTCATCAGCTTCTCTTTCCTACTCAGTTCTTCAAAAGGTTGGGTGTCCAAGGCTAAAATTTCTTATGCTAACAACTTCTCTGGGACAATATCACCAATCTATTGGCTGATGACACCCTATTCTTCACCTCCAGATCAGCGTAAGACTTCTAAACTTCAGACTTGTCTGGAGAACTGTCCATATATATTCCATATGTAGACTCCCAGAGATATTTCAAAACACATCCAAAACTGAATTCATCATCTTCCCTACACACTGCATCCTCCCTCTAGTACACTCCATATTCATTGGTGATAATCACAAAAACTTCCAACTTTACTGTTTAAATCTTATTGAAGGGTCTTCTTCACTAGTCCATCAATGCCTTTACATCTGCAGACTGGACTACCACATACTAACCAATCCAAGCCTTCTGTGATGTAAATCTGCCTCCATGAGCAACTGATTCACAGGGGAGATTCAATAATCTCATAGCTGTGCTGTCCCCTTTGGTGGCTTCAAGACATGAAGTCACTAGTAGACTCTTCACAGGTCTGCTGACCTGTCCATGTTTTGAAATCTGTCCTCTCCAGGAAAAGTACTTGGCATTTGCTCCTCTAGTCACAGTGGGTCTTACCTTTGTGCATTCATTCACGCTGCTTCTCTGTCTAGAAGAGCTTTTCTCTAGCCATCTCCCCCATCATTTGTCCTTATGACTACTAAGCAAAAGCACTACTGCTGCATCCATTTCTCTCTAAGAACTATCAGTCTAGATATGTCTCCTTTACCAGAACAGTCTATCCCAGGGCTTAAGTAGAAAACATAATATGGAAGAAAATTTCAGTAATGACCATGAAGTCAAATGTCTGACTCATTTCTAGATTACCTGGTGTGATTACACAGATTCAATTCAAGTTAGTGAATTTAAGTTCTTAACTTTCTAAACTTACTTGAAGAATTCAGTCTTTTCCTCTTCACTCTTTAATGTCAAGCGTTTCAAGAAATTCACAACTTCTAGAAAATCATTTCTAAGTGCCAAAAAAAGCAAGACAGTAGATTAGAGAGGCATGTTAAATACTGAAGCCATAGTCACAGGCCATACCACTATAATTTTCAATGAAGAAACATTTCTCTATGCCATTTGAAAGATTCAAGGTAGCATATGAGATAGAAACTACAGAACAAACCTATTAGAGTCCAATATCTTAATTCTAATAGGTTCTGTGGTGAGGAAATAAACGTTAACATACTTTAGTCTCTAACAGTCACCATAGTCTCCCCAAGTTTTCACTGTAGCAGGACACTGTAAAATGAAGTGTCCTGGGAGAAGGTGACATTACTCTCACAAAGCAGTTGTGTTCTAGGTCTCTTTTGGGAAAGTGAAATTTCGGTAGAAGTCACAGATATTCTCTATTTCTCTCGTTTTTTCATTCAGGCAAGGTCAGTTGCCAGATCATCCCAAAACCTGTAAATTGATCAGTTCCAAGGGAGTATTGCTCACATCCTACCATATGGGGTTACTACCTTGGTGGTGAAGAATATATACGCTCAGCAGCCTACACGGCATGTGCAGCTACTAGCTTGGTCTCCATGCTAACACGCATAGGGAATCCCTGAGCAACCTGTTAATCAGGGGCACTAACTTCCCTGATTTTCCTCTACACAACCCTTGTGTAATCTCTGATTTCTCCAAAACTTAATTACTGATTGAATGATGGCTAGGTGTTACCAGTCACCTTACTTCAAGGACGGTCTATGGCACAAATTTTCTATGCTGCACGTACTAACACACAGTGGAAAATACACAAGAACCCCAAGAAATTTTTAATAGATAAGCCATTAGTTTCTCATGAGATGATCAGTGTCACATGGCATTTTAAGGGTATCTGCAACATTTAGCTTACTATAATAGCAATCAGAAGTAGCTACAAAATTAGTGCAGTATGTTCTCCAACTTTTTGCAATTATGATTTAATACTACATCTTTATTTCTGTTTACATTTCTCACCTGCAAATGGTACCATATGTTCTATCAATGTATATGATCATAAACTTTAAAAAAATTTTTTAATGTATTTACTATTTAATTGTAGGAATGTTTTGCTTGCATTTGTAAGTAAATGAACCCTTGTATGCAACATCCATGGAGACCAGAAAAGGGCATTGGATTACCTGGAACTAGAGTTATAGATGGTTGCTAGCTGCCATGTGGGTGCTGGAAACTGGTCCCAGATCCTCTGTAAGAGCAGCCAGTGCTTGTAACTGCTGAGCCATCTCTCCAGCCCCAACTTTAACAGCTTGTAAGACTCATTTATACTTCATGGCACTAAATGATAAACTGTTATGTACATTATTTTGTGCATTCATCACTATCTTTTTCTTTCTTTGATACAGAAGGCTCTAAAGTTTGTCTCAGAATTTCTTTCAGTTTTTCAAAAATCTCCTAAATTTTTGAAAATTCAAGTCAAAGGGACCTATGCAGTCCAAATCCATGTTATTCAAGAATCAGCATTATCTCCCCAATCCTCTATACAAGTGTTTTACACCTAATGAAGTTGGCTGAGCTGCCTTGTGAGGGATGCTGGCTCTGCATCTTCCTGCTGTTTCTGGTTGAGTTTTCTCTTCTTATGCCACAGTGGGATTTTGGAGTTTGGGATGGACTGCTTTTAGCTTTTTTGTACCCTCTATATTCAACACACAGTTCTTTTAAAATTATTATTTTATGCATATGAATGTTTTGCCTGCATCAGTGAAAGTTCACCACATGTATGTAGTACCCACAGAAGCCAGAGGAAAGCATCAGATTCTCTGGAACTGGAATTATAGATGGTTGTTAGTTGCCATGTAGATGCTGGGAACTGAACCCAGGTCCTCTGTAAGCAGCCAGTGCTCCTGACTGCCGAGCCATCTCTCCAGCCCCCTTTGCAAAATTCTTAATAAAGAACTTCTATTACACTGAGTGATAACAATTTACTAAAATTTATTACAGTGAATTATCTTTGTAGAAACTCTTAAAATATTTTTTAGAAATATAAATGACAAACATAACTCTTGTAACTACAAATTCTAACAATAATGTCCCACTGATGCAGTACCATTCTAGAGATAACGTTTCTCCCTTTGGGGTGCATTAACTTTCCTTTTGCCCTGTTTTCCTCCAGACTCTAGTTGAAAACACAAAATGATACTCGGTTTAAAAAAACTACTAACCTGTGTAGAAGTTCTGTGGTTACAGAAATAAAAATTAAGGACATATAATTACAACTAACCTTGAAGAGAGGTTCAAAAACATCTCTGAATCCAGGAAAGTATTTACATTGTGCCCTTCCCTCTAACCGACTTCTTTGCTCTTCTATCACATACTACTAAACAAAGGAAACAGTCTTCTGCCGGAAGAAAAATCAACTTGCTCCCCCCACCACCCCAAGAAAAAAAAGATAACACATATCAAGAACAAAATGGCAACAGAAAGAAGATGCCATGCTTATCTCCTTTTTCAATTAGAACTGTGAACTACTACCGGACCGATGAGTTTCTTCAAAATCAGAAGCCCTAATGAATCTGGACATAATTTCTAAACCTCCATGGCAGCCAAGAATGTAAAATTTTCTTGAATAAGAATCTGAGGCAACCCAATCTCTTTCTCTCTCCTAATAGTTAACAACAGGGACTGTGTCACTTGTGCACCCATCCTCAATAAACAATGTACAAGAGATGAGGTGGCAGTGGAAAGCAGCTGGCATGTTACAGTAGATGCCCTCACCTGAAGAAGTCATGGGACAGCAAGCTGCTGAGCACTGGCCGGCATTGTGGAGTGGGATTCAGCAAAGCTGAGTGCAAGGTCTGCTGAAAGCTGGAGAGAACATCCGCTGAAACTGAAATCCAGAGCTACAGTTAGTTTCCAATGTCTTCTCCCTCTTTTGGGGACCTCTCTAGCTGGAGACTGATGAGAGCAAAAACCAACCTGTAAAAGCCCAAACAAACAAAGCCCTGGCTGTTGCTCAATGACTTCCTGCCTGTTTAGGCCAAATTCCTTGGCAGGTGTCCACAGCTGTCTGACAACAGCCACCACTACTACTGTGTACCCTCTCTTTCCTCAGTGTTAACCTACCTCAGATCCCAAAGATGGTTGATTCAATAGGTAGCAAGTTTGAAGGTCTTTCTTGGGTACACTTTTCTCAACAAGGAAGTTATTTGAATGCCCGTATTTTCAGTTCTTCCAAGGACACTACATAACTGCCACCACCATCATAGGTACATGGTAGTTGAATAAAAATGATGCCTTACTTAGCGCCTTAGGGTTTGATTCTCAAGTAGTTAGGAGGGACGATTTAAGTTGACAGCCAAAAGGCACTTAATATCAGAACACTGCATCAGGCTGGTAGAAGTAGCTCTGTCGGCAGTGCAGAAAGCTTCAGCAATGACAGTCAGGCAGAAATTAACAAAAAATTTTGAGTCTTCAGGCTACTAGATCTTAGTTACTATGGGCATTTACTATTAGCTCAATAAGGAAGAATCTTCAGACCATATATATCAATCACAAAGCCATCATCTCACATGATAGTGACAATCCCAGCTCAAAGTGCTTCCTACTTAAAATTCTTTTTACTATTCAAATTAAAAGTTTCTCTCCTTACCACAGTTGCTATCTGCTTTAAGTACATTGTACTGTAAACAGCAGGTTCCCTACTATAGTCCTTGGACTTCCACACAGAACAGGCATGGATGCCTTTCCCACTTAGTGTACGGGTGCAGCAGTACAACTCCAACTTACCCTGCTCATTTAAGATTGGGAGCAAGTTCTCCACCAATGTTCCAAATGAATAGGCATCCCGGGCATGTCCATGGGACTCTGGAAGAGTTGCAAACTCTGGAGACTGAATGCAGTAAAGACTGTTAGAACCAGGAGAGCTGCTTTACATGCTGATTCTCACTTTCTCTGAGGCTCTTCCTCCCATGTTTGCATTCATAATCAAATCTAACTTCTCCATACCACACACTGCGGCTTTAAGAATGGTTAGTCACACTGTATTTGATAAATAGGTACAATTAGGCTGAAAAGATGGCTCAGTGGTTAAGAGTACTCACTGCTATAGCAGACGACCTTAGTTTAGTTCCCAGCACCCACATCAGGTAGTTCCCAACTGCCTACAACTCCAGTTCTAGGGGATCCAGCTCTCTCTTCTGGCTTCGCAGGTCCCTGCACACATGTGGTGCACATACACACATGCAGGTAAATATACAACACAAATAAAAATAAATCTAAAATAACATGCAATTATATGTCACTTAAAATAGCATGTCTCAAATAGAAAAAAAATCTAAATAATTGATGGAGATTTTCAAAGACTTCAAAACATCAAATATGAAGAAAGATCAGAATATAATCCATATTTATGGCCTTCAGAAATGATCTGACTGCAACCTAAAGTAAAAAAGTATACCAATAATGTAATATACACAGATATATGTGTGTGTGCATATATGTAACAAAAACAAAATTTCATAAAACAATGTTCTACCTCACAATCTAAGGTGCCCAGTGATAGCATCTCTATTTTTTTTTCAATTTTTTAATATTTTCAAAATGCTGGTGAAGACCTACAACCTGTCTTAAAATCTACAAATCAGTTTGAAAGAGCACTTATCTACATACAGAATACAGACTCAGCTAAACCTGACATTTCAAGTCTTAGGTGTCTTAAGCTTATAACTGATTTGTATTTCCTGTAAAACACATTAATGTCTCTGGGGATTGGTACTTATTTTAGTGGCTGCAAGAAAAACATAAGGGGCACTGCATCTGAACTTACTGGCAAATAGGATCTTGCTTCGGCAGCACTGTAATATATCTACTCTTCTGTGTGTGATGGAATTCTAGCAAAATGGCTAGGCAGATGTGCAGCTGGAAGGATGCAAAGAAAAGGAAAGGGTGCTGCTCCCTAATAATGACTGCCTCCAGTAATGCAATGACTTTTCATAAGTATGACACCCTGTCCACACTGGAGCATCTCTATCTTTATACAACCGAAAAGTGTAAGCTGGTTCCCTGGCTGCAATAAATTAACTGCATAAACTTTCAAGGCCAGAGGAATCAGGAGGTTATCTATAATTTGGCAGAATGGATAGAGGAGATGGTGGTTTTTTTCATTCAGTTGTACAAAGGAGCCTTTACTTACCATCTCTTCAGGAGGAACAGATGCTGGGTCTCTTACTGACTGAATACTTCTGAGAAACTAGACAGAAAAAATTAAGGAAAATAATTCATATACATATTTCATGAACCAGCCTCTTGGGTCAACTTACAAAAGCAATAATCAATGGAAGCAGGAGTGATGAAACCCTTAAATCAATGCCACACATTCAATTCAGATTTAAAACCTTCCAAATTAAATCTAAATACTGTACCTGGCACAGCACAAGGCTTAGCAAAACGTAAATGTTAGTCCCTTTTCCACTCCACATCAGCTGATTTAGGAGACACCCTTTATCATGGATCTAAACGAATAAATGGTATTGTTGCTAGATGGAGTGGCACATGCCTATAGTGCCCACTACTAAGAAAGCTTAAGCCTGTTAAAAAAGTGAGAGCCTGTATAAAAAAAGGGGGCAGGGGGCTTTCCAACACAATAAAAATCTACCACTGATCTCACTAAATCATGTGACTCTTAAGTGTTGCTGTCACATGAGATATAAAAGCCAAGGCTCTTATGAGGTATAAAGACAAAACCAAAACCCACAGAATAAGCACATTCATTCACTTACTCAAAACACCATTTACAGCACTAGGGATACTAAATGAATACAATAGATTTCCTGAGCCCATCCATGTGCTCATAACCTAGAAGAAAACTAAATAAATGTGCTGAATACCATGGAGGTCAGAGGTAGTGACTAATCTCGTCAGATACAAAAATGCTTCAGGGAAGGATTCAGAGAGGGGATTTCGATGAGATCTTGGCTTGAGTATATTCTAAGGAGGCAATGGGAAGGAAGGAGGCATTCCAGCAACAGAACAGCATCCAGGCAGAAAATGGTGAAACAGAAGAACAGACCCAGAAACAGAGCTCCTCCAGGTAACCTAAGGCAAGGAGCTGTGGGCACTAAGTGAAGCTGAAGGGAGGATGGACAGTATATTTTGAAGGGCTTTATATGGCATGACACGAATATATTCTGCAGAATACATCACACAGAAAGGACTGCATGCTATTATGCTAGTTAGATATAAGGTGGATTCAGAGAAGAAAGTGTGCAAAAGGGGCAGAAGTAATGAGCTAAGTATCTGAGGACCTAGTAGCATCTGAACTGAGTACACGTCCATGAAGATACCCATTAGAAAAGGCCTAAATTAAGTGCAGAGGACAGAGGAAACTAGACAGAGCCAGTACATCAAGGAGTGAGGGACAGCAGTCAAGAGTGCTTTCCCCTCTTCCAGAGGAACCAAGTTCAGTTCCCAGCACCTCCATTAGGCAGCTCACAACTGCCTGTAACTCCAGCTACAGGGGATCTGACAGTCTCTTCTGGCCTCCACAGGTGCCCCACAAACAGCATACACACAGACACAGACATAGGCACACTCACAAACAAATAAGTAAAAATAAAAATAAATCTTTAAAAAAACAGTGAAATGATGCTTCCACAGAGACATTATGTAGGGAGTGGTTTTTACTTCTTTTAGAAAAAGTAAGTCCAACAATAATGTGCAAAATGGTGAAAAGAAACAAAACAGATAACAGAACAACTTGTCAGCTATGAGGAAAATATAGAGATCTCAGAAAATTTTAAGAAGTATCATAGATAGCAACAGCAGAGCCCACCAGGAGCTATGATGCCCAGGCCCTAATTTCATAGGATACAGTGTATGGACACGGAGCAACTAAGACACTGTTCAGTGAATTTAGACAGGCACTACTCCAGGAGATATGAGACTAAGAAGCTCAACTGTGGGTGCAACAGCAGAGCCCACCAGGAGCTATGATGCCCAGGCCCTAATTTCATAGGATACAGTGTATGGACACGGAGCAACTAAGACACTGTTCAGTGAATTTAGACAGGCACTACTCCAGGAGGAGATATGAGACTAAGAAGCTCAACTGTGGGTATGGAACATGTAATTTCAATATTCACCATGTAGTGGTATGATTAAAGAACAAAGTACTTACTATACGGAACACAGAGGCAGGGCAATAAAATGTCTGAATAAACCATTCTACATCTCAGTCTTAGGTTCCTTACCCACAATATGAAGGGACTACATGACCCCCAGGACTCCTTTGAGGAATAAAACTTATGATTTTCTGCATATGGGTCCTGATAAAAGAGTTCAAGTCTCTAAATCTAAAATCATGCTTACACTGAGGGATAGTGCCCTGTCAAGTCTCCACCAGATCCTCTGTGCGGAAGATCTGCCACCTGGCTCACCTCTGGTATGGCCTGAGGAACTTTGCAGACAGTTTCCATGCCTCCTAGTTTCCAGTGCCCATCTTCACTCACAAACACAGATGATGAGCAGACATTGTTGTGTGTCAGATGTCCCTGAGAGAGAAAAAATAGCAGGAAGAAGACTGTCACACCAATATTTGAAGGTTTTTTTAAAAAACTAAATACTAGTCACTGAAAATATATCATGATAATCTTGCCCACCTGTGGCATTCCAAAAGGAATTGTGCTTTTAAGAACAAATGAGGACAGAAATGAGGTCAGGAAAAGGGAAAGGGCAATGGCAAACTTCTGCCATCTCTCCTGCCTGAGCAGACAGCTGAATTAAGACACCACAGCCACTGCACAAATACAGCTACTCCCTGCTTCTTAGGAACCAGGAGATGCCTGTGTCTTTAAACCTACAAGTCTTTATAGCCTGGATCATTTGCTTCCAATACCTGTAAAGAAAATTTGTCTTTGCTCCATAGGTTGTTAACTTTCTCCTCTAAATTCTTTTTCACCTACATTCTATCATGAACCCAGATCCATTTCACCTGAAACCGTCATTAAAAAGGTCTCACAGACCATAGAAGAGTCAAACTGAAAACTAAAAAATAGTTCGGTCAAATATGTAAGAGGACGGGAAAAAAATGAGAGTACTTAGTACTTTGAATATTTAGGTTTCTTTCTCAAACCAGGAATTGCTCCAGCAGACACATCACTACATATTCTACCCACATGATCCAATGCATATGCAGTTTTATACATTAAAGGTAGGTTTACAACAGCACATATGGTATGTTCGGGGAAAATATAAAAGCATAAACATATCAATATTTGCTTTATGTGCACACAAAATTTATCTGGAATAATACACTGATCACAGTTGGCTTTCCAGAGAAGAATTCAATTCAAGGCTGGTGAGCAATTTAACTTGTCCTCTGTGTATCCTGTTCCATCTTGGTGTAGCATCTATATATTTTCCTCAACAAAGAAGATATTCCTCCCCAATGAAGCATTAGTATTTAGTGTTCCCATGTGACTATCACAGACTTTAAGAAGCTATAAATCACATATAATATGGACAGTCTGTCTCCCCTTAATAGAAAAAAACTAAAACACTAAGACAAATCTGATGCATTTGTAGCCTGTGACTGCTGACTTTTAATCCCTGAGGACTGTCAAAGACCTTAATGCTTCCGATTGAAAATGACATTAGCAAATGATAGTTTAATAATGCTGATAAGGAATAACTAGGAGCGACCTAGAATCAGCCTTATAATAATGCAGACACCAGCAGAGAGTCAAGCACACTGGGCTGCTCTCCTCTGGGTTCCGACTTAAATGGGAAAGTTAGGTACAAATGCCATTTCTTCCAAAGAAATGGTCTTTTTTTTTTTTTTTTTCTTTAAAATCTAAACTGAGCAAAACTGAAAAAAAAAAAATAAGAATTTTGGTCCACAACATTACTGTCAAACCTTCTCTCAACGAATACCTCCTGTAGCTACTTTTAGGTAAAGACTCCCCCAAACTAGAGGTAGACTATAGTAAATGGAAATAAAACATATGAATAACTAACTGCTTGGGGCAGAGAACTAGTTGTCCATCCCACAAAGTATCTGTAGCACCTCTTGCCCCTTCCAATTTTTTTTTTCACAATTTCTCTACATTACGTATCACCTACATCGTCACCCCAATTGACAGCAGCCATGAAGCATATGGTCAGAGCACTTACTCTGTCATGGAGAAAGATAAGTGCCAGCAATATGTCATATATTCCAGCACAGACTTCTGCAGGAGACAGGGTTTCCAAGGCCACTTCCAGAGGTTGCACTCTCTCAGTGACAAGATGAATGCCATCTGCTTCCACAGTACAGGATAAAAATCTCAGCAAGCAAGGGTGACGAAGTGTCTTTAAGTGCTTCAAAATACACATTAAAGAGTTAGGAAGTTGATGACTCAAAGCTAGATACATTATGGTTTCACACAAATTGCCATAAAGTCCAAAACTGTGTACTTTCATTCAAGGTCTTTCTAACTTCTTTACCTTCCTTCAAATTTTAAGAAAAAAGAAAATCTATAGCTTGTTCTGACTTTATTCAACTTACCAATATTTAAGTAGCTCTCTAGAGACCGCCTATTTCCTTATAAGCCCTGCTCCCAAGATCCCAGGCCTCCCAACTACTGTTGGCATGAATGCTGAATGAAATGCCAGCAACTCCCTGAGAACTAACTCTACAAAGCATGCAGACTCTGGAGGAAGCAAAATGTGAAAAAGCAACCTCTGTGAAGGAGTATTTCTCATTTTCCTTTTTCTTAACAACTAACTACACACTAACAGCAGGTCTCGGTTGTGAAACAATGTAATAAGGGAACTAAAATTGAATTAAAAAAAAAAAATCTCTATGTTTCTGGCCAGAATCACAGAAAGGAACCTAGTCAGGGCCAAGTGTGAGGATGCTATTCCGGAGTGGGAAGAGCTGGGGAAGGAGAGGCCCTAATTTCAACAAAGTCACAAATTCTCAAAGTCTAGAATCAACAATCAAGCACAGGTAGACTTAAACTAGCACAGCAAAGGTTCTAGAAATGAACTGAAATTTGAACTACCATTCATGGAAATGGTGAGAGTAGCTCTAGAATTTGAGATCTGAACATAAGGGTTAGACTCATTGCCTGCTAAATTAATTCATAAACAGTCTTTAGAGAATTATGGCAGAACCAATAATCTTTGCTGCATGACATTTGAAATACCAAAACTATAACTGAAAATTTGTATTCAACATGCAAATGTCATCAATTCTTAATGTAAAATAAAATACTGGAAATTAAAAATTCATTGTAAGAATTCATTAACACTATGAACATGACATAGTAAAGAGTCAGGGACCCCAAAATGTTAACCAATCTAAGGAATAGAAAGGATTTCTTAAAAAATGATCAGAGCCACAGGAATCTGTGTGGTAGCAAAAAGGTCCAATGCATGGGCTGGAGAGATGGCTCAGTGGTTAAAAGCACTGGCTGCTCTTGCAGAGGACCCAGGTTCAATTCCCAGCACCCACATGGCAACTAACAACTGTCTGTAACTCCAGTTTCCGGGTAATTAGATGCCATCTTCTGACCTCCATAGGCATTGCATGACATAGGTGCATTTACACACATGCAGGCAATATACTCATACACATTATGTCAAGTTGACAACTAAAGCTATCCAGTACAATACATAAGCCTCTGAGTACACATACTTCATGTTTAGAAACCACTAATATGAAACATTCCCCCTCCCTATCAGTTTTCTTAGCAGAAGACAATATACAATATAATGACAAGCATTAAGTCAATTTCGTTTGGATACAGGGTTAAAAGTGTAGGGGTTATTTCCCCCTCTTTGAACTACCAGAGACAGATGAGAGAAGAGCCCAGAAACTTGAGGTCTGAATACGGAGATTCCCTGCCTCCTAATCAACCTCCTTCAGAGTACCGGGGGAAAACCACCATGGTTGGTTCTGTTACAGCCCATATTAGCTCTGCATTTTCTAATCCAAGTGCATGCTTCATATTACAGGATTTTTGACTCAAATAATTTAAGAGGTCCATATTTTAAAATTCTCACCCCAGATAATTATTTAACATATTTACAGCACTATTTAACATTTTTACAGCAAAACTTACAGTGCTGCAATGCCATTTTTTCAACACAAGTCTCTCATTCTTTCTGGAAAAAACTGGATGACCTTAAAGCTTGTGGTGTATCCTGTATAATCCACTCTTGAAGAGCAAGGCTTTGTATGTGAATCAGATTGGTAAACTGATGGAGGACTTCATTTGGAATATAACCTTCAGCCTAACACCAGGTTTCACTGTTACAAGTAAGCCTTTAGTATGGAACACGCTAAGATACCTTCTTAAGACTATAATGCAGCATGAGTCCATAACTCATTTTTGGTATAATTCTACAGTTCCTTGAAATATATTTTATTAAACTTCTTCAAGGCAAAGTCAGAAGACACTTCTTTGAGCATATTAGATTCTCTAATTTTTTTTTCTACAATAATTGCAAATTTTGCCAATTCTGGGGAGAGTTCCAATTGGATTTTTTGTTGATTCTTGAGAAGGAATCCATTAGCTGGGTTGGTGGAATACACCTATAATCCCAGCACTCCAGAGGCAAGAGGGTTGCTGTAAGTTTAAGAACAAAAAGGGAAGCTAATTATTCCAATTAAAAACAAACCAAAATTAAAATAAATTGGCAATTAAAAGCTATTAATTATCTGCATTAAAAACAATTCACATGGAATACAGCAAAAATCCAGGAGAGCCAAAAATGGTGCAAGCAGGCTGGGTAAATGTATCTGGCTAACTGGGAAGAATTTCTTTCAAGTAGGTTTTGAGCTATAGTCTCCCTGCAAAATTATGTATGTTGCAATTTTTAAATTTTATGTTACTATTTTTATCTTATTTTATGTGTATGACTGTATTGCCTACATCTATGTGAGTACATCCATGTAACGCAATGCCCACAGAGGACAGAAGAGGACATCAGATTCCCTGGAATTGGAGTTTCAAATGATTGTTAGCTGCCACGATGAGTGCTGGGAATTGAACCCAAGTCCTCTGCAAGAGCCATCTCTCCAGGCCCATATTTTCATTTTAAGAATGATTTCAAATAATTTTCAAATCAAACATAAAATATTTTACTTTTGCCTATTCAAGAAAAAAATTCATTTAGGTTTTATATTTTAGGACTGTAATTCTTAGAATTTATCAGTCCTTAAAGGTTATTAGTTAGAAATGAATCCTTAATTACCAATGAGACAATTATGCTATTAATTACAGTTGATGAATTCAAGATAAAATGTGGTCCGATAAACCTACCTAAGTTTTATAATGTTTTGTGACCAGAGGCTATAGCTCTATTTCATCATCTTTCAGGGGCCTTACAATGTACTTTGATTGATCTTTTTTTTAAACCTGACAAAAACTTTGAGAATTTCATGCATATATATATATATATATATGGTGTGTTTTGATCAAATCCATGCCCACTCCCTCCCCTCCAACATTCCTC